TGAGTGTGCCAGGTGCTGGGCCACCTCGACAGCCTTAGTTTGCTTTGGTGCAAAAACTTTACTTCTCTGGCACCATCTCCTTTAGCCAGATCAGATTTAGGGATTTCAGTCAAGTTCATTCAGAAGGGCCTTTGGAGTGGCAACATCAGAGACATTATTTTAAGAGGCAGTGGATGGGCTTTTACTGATTTAGTAAAACCAGAAGAAGGCATCTTTGAAATGTCACCTATCCTGCTCCTCCCAAATACACAAAAAGTTCCACTCCAAAGGGATGGTCTTTAAGTGGAAATCATCAGGATATCAACATGTGACCAATCTGCTCCTCCTCAGAAAGCAGGGTTCAACAACAAGCAAGCAAACAAACAAGCAAGCAAACAAAAACACACCCTAAACAAAACTCCACTGAAAATGGTACCTTTCACCAGGGAGACAGACCCATTTCCCTTCTTTGTATCAGTCAAAATTCTCCAGTGAGAGTTCCACCCCTGCTACCTGTGCTTCTCACTCTTGCATGAACTCTGCTCAACTGGTTTCCATCCTTCCCCACTACACTTGAACTCCTGTCCTCTCTGGCATGAGCCCAATCCATTCTCGAAACCGTCTGTGCCCTCGCTTCTGTGACACCGACCCCACTCTGGCTTTCCTTTGACACAACTGCCCCTGCTGCCTCCTCCAGTGCCCTCAGGTGGGTATGCTCCAGGATTCTGCTCTGGGCTCCATTCCCTCTCACCCACTCACACATTTCATTTATTGCACATGAACGGTTCTTCTAAATTCTAGGTCTTGCATTTCTATTGCTCTCTGGAAATTCTCCCGAGATGATGATTATAACAACTAAAGTTACTGAATGCTCACTAATGTGCTGAGCATTGTGCAAAGCCGAAGTTCCCACACTATGCTGGTTCACGGTGCCTATGTGGCTTTTCACGTGGTACTTGCTTTTGATCATACCAATCACGGAAAACCCAGCTTTGAAAAGAAATGGCGTTACTGAAAGGAATGTAACGTGATAAAATGCTGAAACTGAACTACTTTGAGTTTCTTTTGAAAATTTATTTAAAATATCTAGTGGTGCCCCTTTGAGTTTGCTGTGGCACCCAGGCCTTGCCACACGGAAGCCCTAAACACTTTTACGTTAATACCTCATTTAATCCTTAAGAACCCCATTAGGCAGGTCTATTATCACCTCCAGCGTACAGAGAAGTTATGCGACTTGTCCAACATCACATAGCTTGTACGTGGTGGAGCCAGGGTTTGAAGCCAAGGGGTCTGGCTCCACAGCTCGCTCTCTTAACCGCTTAGATATGTTGACTCTCTTGATGCTTCTATCTTAAAATCTAAACCTAACTTATCTTGTTCTCCCAAACTAGCTATTCTTTTTGCTTCTTTTTCTTACGGTCCTGGTCATAGAATCTAAGGTAGACAGGGTGCACAGAGGCCGTGAGCATCTCCAGTGGCTCTCTGGTCTCGGCTCACTACAGGCTGAGGGACACTACTCCTGAAGCGTTCTAGGCGAACTTTTAACCTCTAGGCGAACTTTTAGGTACTTCTCTTTTATACTGAAACAAAACCCAAGAAAGGATATATTTTTAAAGCTCCACAGGAAATTTTTAGGCATAGGTCAGGTTTGAGAAACACAGCATGTGTCCTTACATATTTAATGGATAAATGAATGACTATGTTCAGAATATGACTACTTCAGGTTTGAACAGCCGTGATCAAATACTGATTCATAATGTTTTTTTTTTTTTTTTTTGCCATAAACTAGAATTCATTTTTCACTAGCAACTGCTAGGGTAAATAGTCTCTATCCTTGAGGAAACTATAATTTTATTTTCCAAGGCACCCGGGTTCAAAACCTTAGGGGACATCATTATACTTATGTCTCTGACTTCCCAGATCCAAGCCCAGTTGCCGGATCTTGTCAGCTTTTCCTTCAGAGTGCCCCCTGATTCTGTCTCTTCAACTTCATTTCTAAGGCTTTTATTAGTGACTTTGGACTATAAAAACCTCCTGGGTGGTCTGTCTCAAGTCTCTCCCCAGTCTAAACCCCCGGTACGACTCTGTGATTTTATTAAGTTATATTTTAGAGCACGTCTAAACCGTGCTCACAAGCCCAAAGTGGCCACTGCCAAATCCTTTCTTTTGGCATTTAAAATTCTCTACAATTTGCTCCCGACATGCTTTTTCGATACGTTTTTGTCCATATAGTCATTCATTTGACATATATCACAAGATGCGTACCAAGGACACTGAAGAGTTGAAGGCACTATTAAGGTGACTAAAATAGTTCCCAAGGAGTTAAAACACCTGTAAGGAGCTTATAGTCTTTAACAGGGGAAATGGAACATGTACAAAGGTAACTTCAACATTAGGAAGAAAATAAGTGCAACAAAAGAGAGACAGCAAAGTGTGATGGGAGTACAGAAGTTAATTCTGACTGGAGGTGGCATTTGGTTAGGTCTTGAAAGGAAGGCATAGCATCAATATGTGGAGGAGGGGAAGAAGGTCACTGAAAAAAATGAACAAAGGAATGGAGGTAAGAATGTATGGGAAACAAGTTTCGTCCCCACATAGTGTATATAAAGCAGACTAGTAAGAGGTAAAGTTGAAAAGGGAGGTTTAGGCCTAAGTCACAGATAATTATAAACGTTTGGCCAAGGGTTTGGACTTTGATATTCAGCAAGTATCTACTGCCTATCTACCACAGGCGAGACTGCGGGTTAGGTACCAGGGATGCAGCGGAGAGCAAGACACAGGATCCTGGTGCTCTCGGCGCTTTCAGTCTAACATAAAGGCAGTAAGGGTCCGCTGAGGATGCTGAACAGAGGACTGTCATCAAAGTGGTACTTAAGATTATCCTGGTATCGATGTGTAAGATTAACTGCATGAAGAAATGGAAAGGAGGCCATTTATTGCATTAAGTACAGGGAGGGATGAGGCTCAAGATAGTGGTGTGAAAGTTGTTGAGGAGGAGCAGGAATATCAGGCTTAACACTTGGGTGGAAATAGAGGAGGCCAGGTAAGAGGGAAATGTAAACATGAACCATAAAAAAGGTGAACCTCAAGATGAAAAAAATCATAACAGTGGTTGTCTCGGGGGGCGGGAATTGGGAAGGGGTAAGAGAGCGCTCTGTGTCATGGTGGTAAAGTCTCTATGTTGATGGAGGCTTGGTCACACAGGTGTGTGCATGTATCAAAACTCATCAAATGGTATACTTAACATTTGTGCATTTTATTGTATATAAGTATTATGTAAAAAAGCTCTGTAAATAATGTGGGCTTAAGTTAACGATATGCAAGCCGAAGTATTTAGGGGTGACGTGAATGATATCTACAACTTACTTTGAACTTAACATTAACAAAGACAAGATGGATTCATGGATGGAAAGATGTATGATAAAGCAAACAGCAAAATATCAACTGCAGAATTTCAGTGCATGGCATATAGTTCACTACAATTCTTTCAACTTTTTGTTCCAAAAATTTCATAATAAAGTGTTGAGAAAAGCAATATACATATATGTTTGTGTGTGGGTTGACTGGTAGGACACGGGGAAAACAGAAAGAGATGGAAGAAGAGATGCAGGTTAGAAGTCTGAGGTACCCAAGGCATCCAGGTAGATTTATCAGGCAGTTACAAACACAGGACTAGAGTTCATTTGTTTTGCAATGCTACTTCCTAAACATCTCTCTGCCTCCATGCATTTACTTCTACTGAAATCCTATTTCTTCTTTAAGCTTTCTTTGACTACCCTTCCTTCCCCCACTCAGCTGTAAGATTAGTTGACATTATCATATATCACTAAAATGGAAATTCCTAGGACAAATAGAATCTTACACAAAATATATGCTATTTCATGAAGAAATTTTCAAAGAAACTAACGAACAAAGCCTGACTTAGTATGTGACTATCTGGTTCTTTAAGCTCACTTTGATTCTTGGCTCAGAAGGTATAGTTCTGTTTTTTCTTTCTGAGACATATATACTTTCTTAAAAGGCACCTTTTGAAGTGGGGAAAATAACTTGCACCTCGATTACAGACTGAAATGAAATTGTCATTCTCAAATTCTTAACATATTTGATTTTCTCTTTCTTAGTAGCTTTTCTTTCAGATTTCATCCAACATTTCATTTTGCAGAAGTATAAACAAAGGAAGAAAATGGTTGTCCTTTGGTGGCAAAACTATGACTGACTTTTTTCTACTATTCTGAATTACTAAATTTCTACAAAAATGATATATTACTTTGATAACAGGGGAAAAACATTTTTTAAAAAACGAAACCTTTAATGACATAGTCATCATGCCCAAAAGTACAACTGCTAGAGATTTCTCAAGTTGTGAAGAAAAAGCAAACCAGGGTGGCTGATTTATCATTCCTATCTCAACAGTGCATTTGCTAAGGTCAAAAATGAAGTCCTGCTCATCTTTGCCCTCTTAGCAATTACTGCAGCATTGGGCTTGGCAAACAGCAAGCTCTCAGATGGTGAAAGAACACCCACTGGACACTAAAAATGCAAGAATGTAGCCAACACCAGTTAGTGGAAAGCCGGTAGCTTATTCTGTTAACTTGGTCATTATTCTTCTAATTTTGAAAACTCATTTTTCAAAATGAACTCATAAAATACCTTTCATATCTCTCAACTGCCCCAGGCAGGCAGTGAAAGAAACCGAGCTGCTCAGAGTGAAAGAAACGGGGTTGGCTCATTCTATGAATTCTAAATACCAGTCAGAATAAGCCACAGTATTTCTAAACCTGTGCTTGGCACAATGGGACAACTCTGTTAAGGAAACCCATGAATAATTATGATTGCTCCTATTTTTATAGCAGACAGACCTGGTGATTGGTAGTATTTTATACCTGGTATCATTCTAAGAGAGCTGGTTTGCTACACTTCCAGTGGTTCACCTTAGCTGCTTAATTCCAAATCTGCTCACTACTATCAAGAAAAACCTGCTTCATCTCTTACCCCCAACCACACTTTAAAAAATGTTTTACCTTTTCTCCCCTCTCTCTCTCTTTGTCCTTCTCCTCCTTTTTCTTTTTTTTCTCACTATGCCCCTCTGTGTGGAGGCCAGGAAGTGGTGGGGGAGGGGCGGCTGTTCCAGTGTAGGGGATGCTGGGAGGCGGGCCAGGTGTCACCGTGACCTCTCCCACTGCTGCCGCAGAAAGTCCTGAACTTCTCTTGGACTTGGAGTGGCGTTTCTCTTTATGCTTCTCCTTGTCCTTTTTCTTTTTGCTTTTCTTCGACTTCTTTTTCTTCTTGATTTCCCGGTAAGAATCATCTATCACTAACTCGCCAGCCTCCAGCTCCCCACCAGAGGACGAGTCTGAGTCTACTAGGATAGGTTCAAGCCCGGAAAGCTCCAGGTTAGCACTGTGGGGTTCTGGGAACTGGGAGGCGTCAGACCCACAACCTTCGGGGCCAGGAGATGCACGTGGGTCTGAGGATGACTTGTGCTTCTTCCGGGCTGTTTTCAGAAAGCTCTGCAACTCGTGTCCTAGGAGTAAAGCACCTTGCTCATCCCGAGCCGACTTCTTAGAGGATTTTTTTACAGTCGCTTGCTGAGAGGGATACTGAAAAGACTCCTCGTCCACTGAGCTGCTTCCCTTCTCCTTTGGTGAGAGAATAAGCTTCATCTTTAAGCCATCAGGCTCACGGAGGGTCAGCGTCTCTGTGTTCACGTACAGCGGTTTCATTTTTTTGGATCTGTGGGAACCACCATCCTCCAGGGATAGCTCCCCACTGCTCCCACTGACTTTCTTCCTGTGGTGTTCCCTTTTGCTCTCTGAATGGCTTGAAGAACTAGAAGACTTTTCCCCTGTCTTTCTGGAGGGCTTGGAGCTCGCGGCCAGTGGGGAAGTGATAGCTTTCAGCAGATCCATAGCGGTATCAGCAGATTGTGGGCTGGATTTTTTCTTTTTCTTCTGTGACGATTCCAAAGACGAAATATCTAGAAATAATTAAGAGAAGTAGTGTCCATATGACAGAGCAACTTCCAACAAGTTTCCTGTCTCACCAAAAACACCCAACTAACACGAAGAAGAAGCTAACAGGAATAACTTAAGGGGAGGCCCTTCGACTGGTTCCTGACATTCAGAGATGATGTGCTTGGTAGACATTCAGAGATGAAGAGGCTTGGTAGACTCTGCCTCTGACCCTGGAGACAAGTTCTCACCACTAAAGTTGTTTTCTTCACTGAGTCTTCACAAGCAACCAGAGAGAGCATACCCGGAAGAATGGACTACAGCGGTGGTGTTACAAGTACAGGTGACCCTTGAACAACACGGGTTTGAACTGTGCAGGTCCACTGACGTGCAGATTTTTTTCAATGAATGTTATAAATGTGTTTTCTCTTGCTTATGATTTCCTTAAAAACACTGTCTTTTCTCTAGCTTACTTTATTGTAAGAATAAAGTACATGATACGTATAGCATACAAAATACACATTTACTGTTTATATATCAATAAGGCTGCCGGTAAACAATAGGCTACTGGTAGTTAAGTTTTGGGGGAGTCAAAAATTATATGTGGATTTTCAACTGCGCAGGGGTCGGAGCCCCTAACCCCCACGTTGTTCAAGGGTCAACTGTAGCTATGATTTAGATTACACTGCAGACAGAGTACTGTTTGTGTTCGGGACAAACCCATTCTAATAGAGAGTTAGTTTTGTCAGCTCTGTGCATAATACAGCTAAGAAAAGCTGGTCTGTGAATGGATATGTACTGGCTTGAGAAGTAACCCACAGGTGCAGGCCAGAGGGCCCAGGACTACATATGGCAAAAGGATGCTAGATAACAATGGGCATAAGATAAGTGGATGATTGGGGAGAGAAGGAACCTGGTACCTGGTGTATCACAAATGAAGACTGTTCTTCTATGCTGAATCCTCCAAAATACCAGCCCTCCACCTCTCTCCTCCTTCACACTGGTTTATCGGCACTCAGAACAAGAACCACTGTCCTGTTAAATAGGCCACTGAGTCAGCAACATCTGGATCCTTCCCCTACCCCGATTCCAAGAACCAGTGATGTGTTTATCCCACCTGCTGCCCTTTCCCATCCTCACCTCCATAGTAGTAATCATCAGAGGAGTGCTTCCTCTTCTTCTTGTGTGTGTCCGTCCCCAAGAAGTAAAGTTCACTATCCTGGAATTAAAAAGGAAGAAGAATTGACCAATGAATAAGAGGATGAGGCAAAAGCAGTTTGGAACCAATCTGGTTTTTGATGATCTGACTTTGAAAAACTAAGTAAAACACAGAAAATAATAAAAATAGATGTGGATGATGTTTATTTTACTTTTAAAGAGTTTTTAAAAGAAATTGCTTTCTTCAAATATTAGGAAATATGATATGTAATAGTTTAAAACTTTCCTAATTCGAATGTTTAGAATTTACCTTTAACTTCTTCTTGGAAGAATTCCTGACCTGAGCAGCGATTTCTTCCTCTTCCCTTAAAAAATCCTTGTAAGAACGTTTCTTTTCTCGTTGACTTCGGCCAGCTGCTAGTCCTATGTCTTCAAAGCTGTGATCACCATCAAAGCAATCTGAGCAGCACAGGTTCATTTGGGAAAGGAATGCAATGAGAAAGTAAGTAACAACCAAATCATCACATATGTCATGCAACAGTCTCTCCAATTCCAAATTAAAATAATCTTAATAAGTCCATGGGAATAAAAGGGGACAAGAATATTCTTGATGACTTGGCTGCAAAATCAAACCTGAAGAAGCAATGGTTCTATGCTATGCAAAGGCCCAGTGTACATCCTCAGACATGGTTTCTTAGTTGTGATTTGGTAGGCGAACACAAACTTGCAGAGGTAAGGCTGAAAAGAATAAGGATTCAGGCGCTGTGCTGCTCTGTGGGAGTCCAATGTGATTCCTATCCCCAGAGTCCTGCACACTGGAGCTGGCAAGGACCACGAGTGCTGCCGGGGATCACCCCAATACACTACTATATTTCAGGCTCTCGTGTTGGAACCCTGTCTTGGTTTTCGTTTCCATGGGCCCAGTCTGGGGATGACGTGGAGGCTTAACAGTGCTCTGGGTCATCATTTGGGAGTCCAGGCTGTGATGGCCAGTCCTGGCCTCTATGTCCATGGGCTGCAAGGACTGAAGAGGACACCCCCTTTGAAATGCTTCTCAGATTAAGGGGTCATACCTTCTTTCTTCACGGAGTCATCATAAGCCATGGCGGTCCTGCAGGGCCTTTGAGAATGTCACTGTGTCCAGGCTCCTTCCCGTCTACAGGACCAGGTCTGAGAAACAAAGAAGGAAAACCCTCCTGTAATGCGAAATCACTGTGGAGAAGCAACCTTCCAGATGGAAATGCGTAGTGATCCAAGGGCAGACTGGAAGGGCAAGAAATAAAGGAGTGTCTTGTCACCTCCTCATTCTACTTGTCAATATACTGGGGTTGAAACTGCAGGAAGTACACTTGGCTTAATTTGATTTGATTCATGTTTTAAAGTTGTTGTTTGGGGAAGTATATAAAATACCTCACACATAAAAATATTTCAAAATTAGTGAGCTTTCTGAAATGCCAACAGGACTGACAACACTGAGAAGGTAAAAACCGACATTAAGTCAGAGGGAGAGGTTCAGGTATGGTCACAGAATGCATGGATAAAGCAAGATGCAGAGGAAGACAGATTACACCACACATTCAAGACTATAAAATCCTACCATTTGGATTGGTGACAGGCTAAAATCTATTGTACTGCACTTTAGACAGAAATGATAACACAGGGGTATTAAAGATATTTAGAGCATTTTTTTTTTTTGGTACGCATTTTGTTGGGCTACATGAATTTGCTCAAAGTCACAATAATGTAAAAGCAGGTATACTTCTTTTATTAGTTGGCCATATGGTAGCTTTCAACACTACCAAGCCTTTCTTAAAGGCTAGGTGAAAGAATTATCATTTGTCCACGAGTGATGAAATTATTCACTAATTTGAATGACTGTAATTTAAATGTTCTAAGTATTGTCTTGAATTTGTTAAAATTATTTTTTTGGCATTCAAATTGACATGTCCATTTTGACTTTGAAGATGACAAGCCATAAACTATACTCTAAGGTAAAGTTCTTAAAATACATATGGACAGGCAATATCACAATTCCTGCAGGAAAAGTCTTTGCAGGAAATTTAAAATGTCATGCATTTAAAATTTTAAGGATTATTGAACATGTTCTCATTTAGTTAGCGAAATGCTTAAAAGTTGATCAGACTGGTCGTTTACTTAAATTTTATTTTACCTTCATTACTATAATGGATCTAGAAATGCTGAAGGACACTTCAACGAGACATTGCCAATCCCTTCACATAGGTGTGGCTAATACTGAAGTATTAGTAACTTTTGTGAAAGAGATGAATTAACAAGGAAAACTTTCATAAATTACAGTTAAAATAAACGAAAAGACTTCATTGCACAAGTCAGATAAAATACAACGCACAGACATGCCTAAGTTGAAAACAGAAAGTGTTACCCAGAATGACTTATAAATAAGATTAAAGAAAGAAACATAAAAAAGCATTTCTTTACTTCTCTAAGAAGCAGAATTAAGAATAGATTTGGTCAAGGTAGACGCTAGGGTGAAGAAAAGAAATGCAATGAACTGAGTTATTTTAAAGATAAACTGGAGAACTGCTTCCTTAAAGGCTTTTTCATAGGAAGGGGATGTGATATGAGGCCTCACGTAAAAATACAAGGAGGCAAGATACATAATGTAGCCAGTTTTTCATGTTTAGCATTAAACTTTCTCAAATAGGTGTTACTGTCCTCCCCTTTCCACCAAGTGGCACTAACTCCAAAAGGGGTAACGGGAGGGGGAATGTCGTCTGCAATTATATCCATTCATTTGAAAGGAGTGTATCATTTCACTGACATTGAAATATCTAGTTTATTAGAAAAATATATAGATCCCATTAGTTTTCATATGCTGATAATGCCAAGAAATATCACAACTTGAGACCTCAAGTTAAATGTTTCTCATGCCAAGTAAATTTTGGCAAAAAATGTTTGAGAAATAATGGGGGAAAAAATCGTAAATATTCATCATCATCAACATGGCCACCACCTACTGTCAACAAAATGTACTTCTATATGAAGTGGAGGCAGGACCTGAGTTTATAACCAGGCCTTCCTTTTGGTAACACCAAAATTAACATAAAACGGAGTTGAACAACTAACAGAATAAAGTTCTGAATACAGTATGAGAAAGAAAACAATGGCCACTTACTAAACTATGAAAAAGTGCTCATGGTCTCATAGGTGACTGCTTTGAAAAACTACCAGCAAATATAAAAAGTTGTGAAAGGGAACAGAAAATTAGGAGCTGATTCTCAGAAGCACAGGCCAACACAGAAGACATGTGCTGCCGTTAGCATCATGTATTAGAATTAGGCCTGCTACTATTTAAATTTTGATAAAAAACACTAAAGGACATTTTATAAATTATAGGAGTAAATAACCCATAAGAAAAAATAAACATGGTCTGAAGACAAGTCCAATTCACTAAAAAATTGGGACAGCCATGAGCTTAAAAAACTGAAATTAAACATAATGGACTGTGTCACTCACAGCTGGGAACTGATGGATCCTGAATTTCTAAGTTCTTTAAAATCAGGATACTATTGCAGCCAAGGAGTTAGTTTTGGTTGCTGGCTCACAGAAGAAAGATGAAACCAGATAAAGTCTTAAGCAACAGTGTGGAAGAAAGGCAGAGTTAGGGCAACATTTATATAAGATCAAGACTCCCAATATTCCTTCTGGGTCTTGCAAATTCAGAGTGCAGGCTTAGGCAGCAGATTGTGAGGATGAAAATGAAAAATATTAGGTTTGATTTTCGCATCAGAAAACAGGTCATAATTAAATGTTGGCAAATATAAAACAGGTGTTAAAACCCATTCTCCTGAATTCCATAATATTTTGGTTTAAAGAATTCGATATTGTCAACTTCCAGGAGGCAGGGATAATTTTACAATTCTGTTCCTCTCAGTGTGCAAAGACTTGACAACATAGGTAAAAGTTCATTATTTAATATTGCTTATGGAAGTAAGAAACATGCCATCAAAAAAATGTGTACTTATGAAATGTGCAAATTGTTAGATGGCACTTTTGAGACTTTTCTTCAGGATATGAAAAAACGGGGGGCAGAGCAGCTTTCTTCTTGTAGATAAGCATATGCGCATCTTGTCCAGGCACAGCTTTCTGGATTACCAAAGTCATTAGGTTAAAACCTCAAATCTTCAATACAGTACTTTGTTATTTTGAAAGTTCAAATTGTAAATACTGAAAAAAAAAAAATTTTTTTTTTTTCAGATGTTTTTGATGTAATCCAAGCCTGGGCAATCACTAACAAGTTTCTTTATCCCAGAATGTGCATGAGTATTGAAAGAGTGAACGAAGTGAACCAGGAAACCCGGCAGTGAGTGAAATCCTAAATCCAGGTCTGGTCCAGGATGAGAGCCTTGTTCCAGATTCCGCCTTCTCTTCTTCCAGAACTCCTTTCAGGAACTCAGATTGCCAGTCAGCGTAGGAAAAAGGAAGATGCACATCCAGCTGTTGCCAGTGTCTGAATTTTTGGTATTGTTACTTTCAGAATATGAGCAGGTGCTATCTTCTCATATTCGTCGCGGTTTCCTCCAATCTCAGAACAGAGCGATTCCGAATTCTTGCCACTCCCTTCTCCAAGAACCTACCTATGCAGCACTCACAGCCCCTGCCAGCTCTGGAAACTGCAGAGATGCCGACAGCCCGGGGTGGGGACTGAATCCTCTCATTGCAGTGCAATTAAGCGGAACCACGACCACCGCACAGATCGGCTGACAACACACATTTCCAAAAAACCAGCAATACAAATTTTGATAAGCCTCCTCCAATCAACAGGCTCGACTTTGGTTTCAGTTTTTTTATTTATTCTGCTATGAAGATATAGAATCAGCCAGCAGCTTAACCATTAGAAAGGAGGGAGATGTTTCTCTTTTGCATATCAAATAAAGTGAATCTACAAGTAAAAGCGGTAGGGGGAAATGGGCCCTTATGGAGAAAGCAGACCATTACGAAGGCACGTTCAAACTGGGTCACACGCAGAGTGCCGACACCTGGTTATTATCACAAAGAGCCCCCCAGGACCACCACTTTTGTGGTCCCCACGGCAAAGCAATGGGATTCTCCCGGCAGTTTCACAGCAACAGCTAGTTCAACAAAGCTCTGTGCAAAGAAAGCTACTCGCATCCTCCCCTGCCAGCCAAGGACCCAGTCCTCCCGTTGCCCCGTTCCCAGCGCCCTTTCGCCTTGACAGCCCCGGGGACCCCGCACCCCGGGTCCGCACCCGCGCCGCGGCCGGGACCCGGGTTCCCGCGTCCCCGGCGGCCCCCCGGCGCCC